CGACCTGGGGAAATGTGATGTTCCAGTTTCTACGTGCTTTATATCGCGAAATTCTGTCACCGCAACGAAAGAAATTATTCAGCGGTGCTTCTTTTGATGCTCGCAGTCTAATATGCAAACTGTTTCCTTTGCTTCACGGTCGTTCTTGATTTTAAATCTCAGCTTTGCATATTACTTTGTGCATTATTATACACAAAAACGTTTGAATGAAATACGTTTGCTCGCTTTAGGTAAGATTCTGCGTTTATTTCAAATTTTTAATCTTTATTACCTTTCAGATACGTGTACTTTCTAGTAATAAAGGTACTTCATTGGCATTAAGGAAAACAGATGAATTAATATCACAGCATGCAAACTAAAATTAAACGAAATTGGTTTGTATACTGGCCGATTTTTTAATAATTACGATTTTTATTGAATATTCTCTCCCAAAAATCTTATTAGAAATTATAAACAAATGTTGGGTGTTGTAAAGATGATGTTGGATGTTTTAAATGATTGGATTATTCGAGAATATTTTGGATAGCTCTGAGTGCTGACATGAAGTCAGAAAAATGGCAATGTGGTTGTTGTTTACATTTTCGGTGTTGTATTCGGTAGTTTTAAAGACAGTCCAGACCACACAGCAAAAAATACAGAGTAAATATGTATTATTGATTATTTAAATGACTTCATAAGAACTTTAAAAAAGTATATTATTAACAGTATGAAAAACGGTAACAATTCCAAATTTCCAAAACCCTAGATTAAGAAGAAAAGAACGAGTTATTATCACAAGATTAAGAATGGACATTTTCTTTCACCCACTCCCCTCTAATAAAAAAAACAAACGACACAGCCACCTGTCCACAATGCAGAGGAAACTTATCAACCTCTCATATTACCCTTGAATGTTTAAGACTCCTGAGTTTAAGACACTCTCTTGGAATTACAAACGATATTAATGAAATATTGAATTGATTTGACGGTTGCAAATTAATGTTAACAGTAATATCTTCATACTGCTAGTCTTGATAAATGATCTGATTTATTGTAAAATTCTGTTTATACAATTTATAAAATGTATCTCTGATGTAAATTATTCGTGGTCGCTAATAAACGTAGCTGTTTATAAAGCGACCAAAAATGCATAATTAAAAAAAAACCTAGTGTGGAAGTTTCTCTACAAACTTTAATCGACTATTACGGACCAATAAATCGTCCGTAATAGTTTATTTATAGTTCTGCAGTGTTTTTATTTAGGTGTAACATTGTCCACAGTACTAAAAGATTGTTCTAAAACTGGTCACAGCTGTTTTGTTTACTTTTGAAATCTATAACAACACATAAGACTGTTTGAAGAAGTTAAACACTGGAGAGACATCAATTAACGGGTGATGGCAAGCATTATTACAATAAAAATACACATTGTTTTTATAAATAATTTTTAACTATATATTATAAATGTAGACTTTACGTTCGTTTACAATATATGTAATCATTAATATAACATATGTAATCAGCCTATTCATTAATGTAATAAACTAATAAAAATATGATCCAACGTATTTGATACCTTGTATTTGTTCTTACTGAAGTGCGTACGTTTAGTACATTCGAGTAAAAATCTGATCTGGTTTAAACGAATTATGTTACAATGAAGTATGAAGAACAATATAGAAATATTTCCTACTGTTGTCAGCCCCATTGCGAAAACTGACTGGCCTGAAGTGGCTTCCGATCAACCTACCATTAGCTATCTTTTAAATAAAAATAATAATTTAATGATCACAACTTTAAATGTTATTTACATTCACTTACAGATATATTTCCTTCACTTGCTCTCACTGTATTAATTTTCAAAAAAATCTTGATTACCCTACTTCAGGCTTGAAATATCACCAGTTGAGGGCACGTCATTACCTTTCGACCACTACGCAATATTTCTATTAACATTTCTCCCACACACTTTTTAAACGGCCTTAATCCCCAACAAGCGGCCGAAAACACGACGTCTGAATAGTCAATTCTTTCTAAGCCTTCAATTGCGCTAAAGCTCGTCTTCTCCATCTTCAAGAAGCCGCTCAACCATTGAATCAGAAGACCTCTGCGGCTCACAGAGCAAATTGGCCCCACGCAGCTCCTGCTACCCACCTTCCTACCTTTCAGGCGAGACGCGGCGGCGGCGGCACCGGCAAGGTTCGTAAAAGACGTTAAAGAGTTGGTGGAAAGCGTGGGGGGGGGGGGAGGCTGGTGTCGGAGGGGGGGGGGCGTTGCTAAGTCTTGGGCCAGGCCGCGGGCGGTCTCGTCATAAAATATTCATAGCAACGTAATTTCGCGCACAGGTGGAGGTGCAATTTATGTCGCGTCAGCCGGGCCACTCTGCCGCCTGCCGTAATTGCTTAAGGGTGATATTCCGATGCGCGTAAAAACATTAGAAAACGCTTCATTATTACAGAGCTCGGATGGGCTCATTTTGCACCCAACAATAGTAGTGACTGTCATGCGGTCGGTTGTCTATCGTTTGTCACTCGGGAGGTGTATTCTACCGTGAGTGATACATGCTATGAATTGATCGAGTTCATGTTTCTGTACTTATAAACCTTCACGATTTAGGGGCCCTTTTATGCCACTAGTGGATCGAAAGTTTACTGCTCCATCTTTTGTCATTGATCAAAACCAGCATTTATATTTACGTTTAGCAATTTCCGTGAGTGCTTCGATATATGTGTCGTAAATTTTATGGATTATTTTTTATATTTATGATGATTCTAAACGTAGTTGCATGGTATCGAAAGTGTCATAATCCTATTTCTGTACTCATTAATTTTATGTAATTTTATTAAGAAATTTCCATTGAAAGTAAAATATCGGCATATGCCCATAAACACCGATACCAGACCGAACAAAACTCGACTTGAAAATAAATAATTTTCTCTTAGTTGGACACACTGTAGTCAACAACACGTTACATTTCCCTGAAATGCTATATTCTTGGTTCTTAAAATAACCCATTTACGCTTTCATAGTGCGTTCACCCGAAAACAGATGAATTGCTCCCGATGCCCTTTTAAACTCGCTAACATTAAGAAGGTAGGCCTATCTAAAAAAAATTAGTCGTTATCCTGTTGAACAAAATTATTCAATGTAAGAGTCATCATCCTCTGATATCTGATACAAACAGGTAATGTAAACACTTTTATGAAAATACTTTTAAAAATACTAATTTATCACTCCGCATCCCTTTTTTTCATTTTCTCTTATTATCATTTATATATTTACTAAACTTAAACTTTCAATTACCTATTAACTAGAACATAAATGAAAGATTTTATATTTTGTGTCAAAAGCTACTCTTACATTAAATAATTATGCCTCTGATTCTTTTATTTGGAACAACAGCCAACATCAGCCACTCATCACCATCCAACAATATGTAAAACTATTTTATTAAATTTATAATTAAATAAAAAAAACAGACGAAAAAGTAATAATATGTTTTTTCGAATTGTTCATTTCATTGGTAGTGAAAAAAATACTTTCTTATGAAATAATATAATGCCATAAAAACTAACGATACTAATTACTTTTTCCTGCCCAATCTTAGCATGATCTGTTTGAACAATTCAATTTTGGAAAATCATTAAAATAAAGAATATATGACAATAAGGATACTCAAAAACTATTTTTATATGAAGTGTATTTCAGAAAATCGTATTGTAAATGAAACAGATTGTTCTTCAAAATAGTCAAAAATTTAACCGGTTGTATTTTATTGTAAGATAAACTCAGTTTCCTGGACCCCGAATATCAAGGAGTAGTTTTGGCTAGTATTACAAATTCCAATGGCTTAGCCAAGAACATGAGTATTGAATCTCAATAAAATAGTTTTTAGACTAGACACTGTCACAACCTTCATGAGAAATGCAGTGTTTAATTTTTTGCAACATTTCCTAAGTTTCACCAGGCTCGCTCAAAAAATCAGACTAACGCTTCATGAGAATAATTTCTTCGATCTCAATCCTAAGCTTGGAGAGCAATGAAGAAGGTCCTTTCATCAGTTCAAACTGTTTTTCAGAAGCAATCTGCTTCTCTGAAAAGGAATCATTTCTTCTCTCCGCGATCCTAAGCTTTGAGAGTACTTTTCCTGAAAAAGAATGTCCCTTCATCAGATTGAGACAACGGTGTTTTTCAGAAGTAATCTGCTTTTTTGAAAAGCCTCGAAACGAGCGAATCCTCTTCCGAGCCGCTTCGAATATTTACGTAAGAGGACCCACATTCGTCCAAGCGAGAAGTGGTGCTGAATAAAAGATGCAGAGAAAGGGCAAGAGGCCTTCTATGATATGTGATACGACTTCGATCGCGTGTGCATTATTTGGCTTTATTTGTTTCTGTAATGTTCGGCGTTTTTTCTGTGCCAAGGAGAGTTTTTGTTCACGTTGACTCAGAAAGAGGGCACGTGAACGGTGTCAGCAATTTTGTCATTATTTTCGTCGTCGTTTTCGACGTCATTGTTGCCAGGCTTTGGAGTAAGACATAACCATTCTGACTTGATGTATAGGGACACTCAATACATTTTCCAACAAAATTAAACAACAAATAATTTTGCTGCAAATTAAGTCCAGGCATATATAATATTTTTATTGAAAAAATAATTGTTAATTTTCCATTTTCATTTTAATACACGAGGTTGAAGGTTTCAATATTATTAGGAGACCGATAGTTTTGGTCTCTTACGATAGTACTCCGCCACTGCTTCTCGTCACATGCGTTTGAATTGAATTATTAAAATTAAATATTACACGCTATGAGCTAGCAAAACAATCTCATTCAATTTATGATAACGTCACAAGAGAGAGAAAAATCTCGCGTCTTCGATTGTGATATTTTATCACATCTAAAGTGGGATTAAGATGGTTTGCAAAGCATATCATTTTGTGAGGCTGTAAAGAATTTTTTAAACGTTATAAAAATTCAAGAGAGTGAGTGCATAGTCAGTGTAATGTTAATTCTCGATGAACCGAATTCTCGAAGGCCGCATTACGCCTTAACAACAAAAGGTAATGTTCATTTTGCATTTAAAAGTACATAAAAGACGTCTACAACGAACATTTAAAAAGCGTTCGACAGGCTCCGTTGGGTCACGGCAACAACTGATGATTTTTCTGTAGTCTTACTGGGGAGTCCTAAGGTTCGAGTTCCATCAATTGAATTGAATTGAATTAATGCCTTATTTTTACGTGGCGAGACTCGGGCCATCTTCCGTCTGACCATGCAAATTTCGCTACGCTCATTTCACCAACTAGCAGAGGAAGGAAGTATTTCTTGGGCGAGAAACAGGCGATTTGGACTTTAGCCTCATTTAGGCTTGAGGATCTTTTACATGCAGTAAATCTACTAACATGGGACGGCTTTACTTCCCCTCCGAAGGAAGGCGTACGAAAGATTTTTTCGCCCTTAAAAATCCACGGCTTCGATCGGGTTTGAACCTGCCAACTTGGGTATACCAGTCCAGTACGCTAACCGCTATGCCATCGGCGCCGCCATCAATGGCGAATTTCCTTTACTAGCTAGCTAGACAGGGAAAATGCAGCCGCTGTTAGGAGAATTCTAGCGGTCGGCTGCTCTGACCGAAAGGTTTCAGACATTTCTCCGAAGAATTATACCTGGTGAATTTCGGAATAGTACTGAAACAAAAGGTCCCCGAACCGTGCGCATTGTTCGCTTTCTACTTCTTCCCCCCTTTCCATTGACACACCATCATACGTAAGGGGCTACTCCGGTGCTTGCCAACTCAATGCTCTGTAACGTCACAGAAGTATGCTCTACTGCTCGGAACCGAAGCGGCGGCGGGCGTAGTGTTCCAATGATGGTACGGAAGTGGGGGTAAAAGGTTCGCTCGATAATTAGGTTTTTAAATAGTATTTATTACTTACATGTTTATGATTCAATACAAATATGACATATTATTACATAAGTCAAAGCAATATCCGACTGTTTTTCGTAACCAGTGCCTGTAATTCCACTTTTATTTTTCTAATACATATCAATTTTGGAGGAGACGGTTTTAATATTCTAGTACAATAATATTTTATACAATGTTATACAACAATTTTAGTTCGTCCCGAGACAATAATTAATGTTAACAAATATATATCCGGGAGCGGGAGGGAGAATTTTGATTCATGGCTTGATCATTTCATATATAGTTTTGATGAGAATGTTGTAAACCCTCGTGTTTTTCAGTACCTTTTCCATAATCTTCTTTCCGCAAAATCCTTGACTCATCTCAGAAATCATTTCATTTCGCGCGATTCTCTGGGTAGCAAAGCTGCTTAATGTCTCTGTAGGTTGAACGTTTTAACTTTGTGCAGTTCTTTTGAACACAGTAAACATTTTGCCATTGTTACTGTACCTACAAAAAAACATTTCTTCTCAAATCGAAAGAAAATGGGTATAAACGGGGGCCCGGTGTTGCCTGAAACACAGGCAAAGGCCCAGTGCCAAGGTTGTCGAACCCTCCCTTTGCTCGCACTGCATCTCTGAACTTTCACCCGGAGGGGAACGCTGCCCTGACGTCTTTTCTCCACCAGTTGGCAAACACCGGACTGCACCAACACACATATGGGAGACTGCATTGTACGGGTGGGGCGGTGTTCTACTAACTAAAGTGGAGCGCGACTTTGTATCTTACGTTTCATCTGGGGAGAAACACTTCTATCAGCAGCGATATAACGAGGCCCGCACTTGCGAAACTGCTAAACAATTAATCAAAAAGAGTATGAAGAATGTATGAAACATCTGAGAAATAGCTCAGTTCTCCTCCAGATAGAATTGTGTGGTGTGGTATGTTATGTCGGCGACTCGCATTGCAAAAAGCGTAACAAATTGAAGAGTATGAGGAAAAGATAGTAAGATATCTCATCAAGTCTCCTTTTTAAACTGTAGTCTCATAAGAGAAGAAATACTTATGATAAATCATTTTAAAATGTGGGTTGTGGTAATGTTGCTGAATGAGCTTAAATACGTCGCAGTTAAAACAGTTCAATGTACAAACAGCGGTTGTTAACATGTCTTATCAAATAATGGCTGTTATCATATTGTCCGCAGCAAGAAAAAGCGTTCCCTCACAGTACTCCAAGAGAGAATATGTTTTACAAAACATACTTAATTTTAATGCCGACAATTGGTCACACCGTTATGAACAGTTTCCTTACCGTTATTTGGCATTGTTAATTGTAAAATACAACTAGAAGTCCATTTGCAGAAATTAATCATAGTATTCTCGTTTAGTCGTAAGAAACTTTGGATGTAGCTTTTTGTTGTGTATCCTAATAAATTCTCAAACATTAAAGTTTTAGTCTTTTCGATGTTGGTCCACTCTTATGCTTTTAGATTATTTTAATGCGAGTTATTTACATGTTTATGAGAGAAAATTTCTTCGTTTACTTTGAATTCTAAGAACAAAAATGAAATATTGTTTTGATTCGTGTTAGGTTACTACAATTTGATCCACACAGTTCGTTTATGAATTATATGATTCGTATATGAATTATCAATGAAAGTTTCCTAAGATTTGATAACTTTCGAGAATATATACCGGATTATAGAAAATTCAGGAATTGCCCTATGTCGAAATAAAATCGATACCCAAATTAAAAGTTCGACTCCTCAGAAGCAGTTTTGTGGTAAATTGACAGGACGCCGTCCGCGAGCTGACCTGCCTCCTTCAATGCACACAATTGTAAGTATCTGGAAATAATTTTTTAGTAAATTTTGGCAGCAGAGTATGAGAAAGTTACGTTAGAAAGAAAGTTAAGTTTCGAAAATTATGCAAACTTTGTCGAAAGAAATGCCTGGGGATTTTTGCTTTCTACTATGCAGATACGCAAGAGCACCGTGAAAGCGAGAGAAATAGCTTACTTATCTCTGGATCGTCCAGAGTTCGGGGCAGTCGGTTGGGAGCTTATAGAAATTTACAAAAGGAAAATGTGGATAGAATACAGATAAGAACGTGTAAATATACTTTCTCTGGCAACTGGATGAAAATAGATTTAGGGTGTCTAGAAATCAGAATGGTTAATAGCAATGTGCCTTAAACAAAGTCTTCGCTAATTCGGCTTGAAAAGATATTCATTCGCATTCGAGTTGGTAGATCCATGTACTTCAATTAAAAACAATCAGAAGGCACAGAATTCAGTTATTGTCTTAGAGAAAATATGTTAGAAAGTTTTTCTGTACAACTAAAACAATAACGGGTTGCCTGAGGCGTCCTTTCAACCCTTTCCTCTGTAGGTGTTCAATTAATTAACAATAATTTTTGTCATTGCAAATCTTATCTGTTATTATTGCTACTACTGTCCTTATCGTTATTATTCTAAAACAAATTAAAATTATGTTGTATTAATATCTTTAACTTGAATGTTAGTAAATTATCGTGTTCTGCCTCCAGAAGTGGCGGCAGTGGTGATAGTGCTAGACGAAATCAGTTCAATTAGTTCACGAACCTTATGCATCGGACGTACTACAGAAACACTCCCACCATCGGAAACTTACCGTGGACCATAATCACAACAAACATTTACGAAAATGTTAACTCATTCATTTCATAATGTAAAGAACTCTCTTGCCAAATCAGGGAGAAGGTCAATCCAGTATTATTAAATAGTACTGTAATGACGATGCCAACCTGCATTATCACGTGATTGCTAATCCCTTCTCCGCAGTAAATCAACATTATTAATAAGAAGCTGAGGTTGTGGCTGAGGCTGGTCCTTGCTGAGCTTTCCTCAGCGCTGGTCCGTCGCGAGGCGGCGGCAGCCGCTGTGGCTGTGGCGAGGCAACGCTCCGCAACCACTCGCATCGATTCTTCGGGAATCGATGGCGGTCGGAAGTCGATTCTCGCGGGATGACACCGCGGTGTCACAGCGGCCCCGGCGGCAGCTCGCAAAAGGGGCCTCCGCGCGCGAGCGCAAAAAAGAAACGGGTGGAGCTACAACAGCACGCATTTCTCACGAGCACGTTCTCACGAGCACGTTCACTCCAAATTACGAGCAAAGTACTCACATTTTCGAAAAATAGAAAATACCTTATTTCAAAATCAAAAACTTAATGGAACAGATTTTATTAACAGAATAAATTCTTAAGATTTTAGTTGAAGACTCCGAAACAATTTTGAAACTTTGCAGTTTCAAAGTCAGAGTTTTCAGCGAAAATGAGACCTACACCATTCTGTTAGACATTTTTCTTAGTGTCCAACAAGAAAATTAATTTGAAGGCAATGCAGCCATTTAAAAAAATGAACATGTTCCAGAGAATTCATCTTAAATACTGCCCCCCACAATTAAAATAAGATGGGTTTCAAATTCAAGCGACCGTAAATTCAGTCAGATGAAATGCGGAATATGAATTTTGGAGAAAAAACGGCTGGACGGTTTAGCCACTAGCGTTGTTTACAAACGGATGGACAGAAAGAAAGACAGTTGTTTTGCCATCATTTGATTTTTCGGTATCAAGTACCCACAAAAAGTAGATTCTAGCTACATCACGTGATAATAATCTGAAATAAGATTTTTTGCCGAACATTCGGCGTTTTTCACGCAGAGTTACATAACTTCTCTCTACACCGTAGCAAGAAAGTAAAAAAGAAGAAAGGTTGAATCGCGGACACTAACAGCAGGTTTTATGCACGAGTTTGTGCTCGGTTTTAAGATCACGATGTGGAATAAATGGAGGAGACAATATAACATCGTGATGTCTGGAACATTATTTTCCCGAGGAAATTGATCACACAAACATTCGAGTACTTCATTATTTCGTTTTTTAAGGCGCGCCAAATGCTCTGTTCATTAGTCCTGTAAGTGTAGTGCTTGATTACCAAGTAGATGGCAGTGATATTACCCCGTTGGACGGTTAAATGTGGCGCCGAACTTCCGTTATTCCAAGGATGTCCCCTCGCAGGACACGCTGAACGCTGCCGACATGTTTGGTAGTTCAATGGATGAATGTGTGTGTAAGTAAGTAAGGGATAAGGATAAAACAAGGATGCGAAAGGAATGATCTTGCGCGGTTTGTGACCTGTTTGTTAGAGTACTTGACCCGGCATCGTGTCAAAGAAGACATCACGGAAAATTTCCGGAGAGAGCAGCTAGCCGGTAGAATTCTCCTCCAGACAACTGCTGAATTTGACTTCGCTATAGAGCTAGTGTCAAACATCCTTTGACCGCCTGGTCTAGAATCCTGACCTCCCTGTCAGAGGCACTACAGTGACATCAGTTGATGACCCAAGTCAAGTATATTCTATAACTTCAAACGTTTCTAATAGATATCGATGTTACTTGTAAAAGTCAAAGTTCGTGATTTTGAATGCAGTGGATTCTTGAAGTCCACATACGGGCAATCTCCCACGCTTCCCGAAAACTCGTAGGGCGCCGTAGAATTGATGGATCATGCAACATCCCACTTCTGCTCTCGACGTTTCCGCGCTCGGTACCTAGCATCTCGTATTCTTTACAAATATTTTTTTGGGGGAATTTTTTATATCAACATGTTAAAATAATGACAATTTTCATTAACATAAATGTAATTTTCATTAACATAAATGTAATAAAGGTTGGTGTAGTTCAGTATGGAACCTGGGGACGGGGGGTCTGTAGTTCTGATTCCAGTCAGTTCTGTTTGACAACGAAATTGTTAAGAGCGTAAAAATTACATTCGATTGTAAATGAAAATATTACGAGATTGAGAAAGGCGGCCAGTGGCATAGTGGTCATACAGTACGCCTTCCACGCGGGTGCCTGGATTCGATCCCAGGTGTTCCGAGAGGAATTAGCGGGGGTGAACAAAGAGGATTTGCAGCAGATTTTCTGGGAGTACTTCGGTTTCTCCTGGCAATATGCATTCCACCTGATTTCTCCATTAGTCATTCCCTACAGAACCACCGGCTAAGGATCTGGGGACCATAGCGGCGCCTAATCGATAACCGTGGAACTAGTTGAGAAGTAATGCGGCTACCCCAGTGGTACATCGGCGGATAGGGCTCAGGCCTGGTGAACTAAGACCTCCCAACAGCCTAAATACGTATGGCACAGAGTGAACGCATGTAATGTCAGGCGGAGTGAGGGGAACAGCTTGTAGCTGCACCCCGAGGGAAAAAACAGAGTTCTTATTATGAGAAAGATGGAATTACAAGATACATTTTTGAACTTGAGATGGTCTGTAGGGTGCAGAGATGAAAGGTATAAAAATTGCACATATATTTTTAAGAGTAATTGGAGTGTTTAACCCTTTTGAATCGTTTTGCCGTGCTTAGCTTACTACATTTATTTAGGGAATACGTTTAAGGAGCTGCAATTTGTCATCTCTGATGTCCCTCAACAGTCGAGGTAGTAATTTAATACTAAATTATTCTTATTTAATTATATATAGGTTTATATGTTAACGCATTTTCCGTGACACGCGACATTGGTTGAATTGTAATCATGGTGGGTCAAAAACCTGTCGAAGTTTTCTCTTGCCAGGTTTATGATGTAGATTTCGTTTGGCAATTTTGCAATCTATGGCTGAAAGGATCTGTGTGATTTTGGAATAAAGCAGATAGGTAAGTGAAAGGATGGAGGGAAATACCTTGCGTTACTGGCTTCATCATCACAGGCAGCACAAACGCTGCTTGCCCGCCGCAGAGCGAGACTGCGCAATAAATTTTGTATGGATGTTGTATTGAAGTTTTGTGCGTTGTGGTGCACTGAGAGTAATTGTGCGCAGTAGCTATGCTCTAGTTAGTATGTAACATAACTGCTGGCAGTGGGATTCCAAACAATGACGTAAAACAGAACAACGGACGTAACCACACAAAAAAAAAAGAACTAGACTGAACTAGATTCAATGTATGATGTACGAGGCGCCGCAATAAAGGGAGAGATCAGTCCGTTTCTGTCGGTTGTTTTACTAACATTTTTAACGGATTTTTAGGAATCGTTTACGAAATATACTTTAGCCGTTATGAAAACCTCAATACTCTTTGAACAATGCTTTAAAATTTCCGAAGAAGGTATTAATTTAACGCACGTAATGAAATATATACGTATGGAACTTGTAAATATGCCGTTTGTTTTTGGAAAGGTTCTACAATGAGAGCTTGTGTACGAATCTGCCTCTTTGGAAGAAATGTGAATAAGAATATATACTTGCTAAATTAACCAATTAATGTTTACTTTTAAATTAGCGTTATTTCTAGTAATCCCTCGATATTTTCATCCCAGAGATCATTTCAACCACACATTGCAATTTGGTGAACAAAATTTACATCATTACCAGAACCACGTTAAGTTATCTACGTAATTTTCATTTGGAATCCGAATAGAAAAAGAAAACATAAACCACTTCCAAAATTTTGTTTTAAATAGAATACCTAGCAGAAAGGGATCTGTAGATATTCAGTGTTTATCTACTCAATTATCTACAAACACACATCATTTTTCGCATTGCTAAATACATTTCATTACAGTATTATTGTAATTGTGGTATTCTACTTATATTGAAATTTTAAGATATTAACTTAAATATATTTTATAGTAGAACGGTCATTCTTGAAGTCAATAAATTAGAAAGGTGGTCAATTTATTCAAAATGTGTATGCCAGAGCTAAAGAAATTAAATAATTTAAATAAAGTGCTTTAAATTCAAAAGAAAAGGTGAATAAACCCAAGGCTCTATTACGCTGTTTGGATACAGCGGTCACAACATGCATCTCTTGTCAATTCTTTGAATTCGTCCGTTTCACACGTATGTCTGCAATGCGCACATAAAAGGCCATGCCAATATTGAAAATTATATCAAATGCGCAAGTAGAGACAAAATGAGAAGAATAAAATTTGCAACACTGCGCCTGTAATTCATTAGCCTATATTGCCCAATAAAAACGAACTCATAATTCCGTATGACCATTAGGTTAATTTTTAAACACATCACATCCCCAAATGAAGAGATCATTGGAAAAATTGGAGCACGGAATGTAAATACTGAAATGAATATATTCCTGCCGCTACACAAACACAATACTTTTTGATTGCCGCGCATTACACGGTTGGCACTCGGGGATGTATTTTAATACCAAAACGGCGCGGAGCAGTTAGCACCGCCGGGAAAGGGTAATTCACGCAGGAAGGGGGAGGATGCACGTAGGAAATATATTATTTGCGTAAACAGAGAGCCTAAATGTGCTTTTGTGACAGGCTGTGAAAAAAATACCAACATCTTTAATGCAAACATATTCATTTCCCCGCGGAATAAATAGGGCAAATTTGAAGATACATATAGATTTAAATCACACTTCAAAAATCTGTGCTCTATTTACTGTTAGAACTCATTATTATTCACTGATAACATTTTTATGGTGAAATTTAAAAATAGAGACATGCCAATATACTCTCTAACACTACAAATAACAAATAATGCAGAAACGTAGTTTATTCAAAATATTTTTAAAATTCTAAAATCAACACACAGTGTGAATATAATCTAATAAGTTACTACTTAACTAACTGGCATTAGTTGTTTAAAAAGTAAACAAGTTCAATATTAACACATACCACCAACTCTCTGCAATTAAAGCTGAAATCTATTTCAACCTTTTACGATTTGAAAGGGCGATGGAAGCCCAAGAGATGTCAATTAGAACATTCCAGTCCACACAGTTCATGTCGGCTGGGCTAATGGACACGCATCCTGCTGTCGAGGTGGACATTAGGTAAGATTCCATAACAAATGCAATGTTCTGATCAAAGAAGGAAACTGAATACCAGCCAAGCAGACATTATGTAACAACACACTGCTAGTTGCATTAAAGGTTAAAATCGATACATAAGTAAACTATTTTTGCCGCATAACTGTTTTTTTACAGTTAAAGACTATACTCTCCATCACAAAAGATGGATTGATTGATACTGATAACCAGACACGTGAACTAATAAGGCCCATACGTCCCGTACGCGTAGTGCATGTTTTGTTCGGGAGATGGCGGCGGTCCTCTTCCGCAGTTTGGCAAGATCCGACGCCGACCTACCGCCAGCCAACGGGATTTCCCTCAAGCCGGTATCTCCCCAGCAAGGTACCGCCCCAGACGGGACGAGCTCTAAGCTCCCAATCGGTCTCCCGGTATGTGTGTAGTGTAGTGCATGTTTGTGTGTATGAGTAAGAGGCGAGGATAGGACAAGGAAGATGTACAAAAGGTGAGTGTAAAGTTTGTTAGGGCACAGCTGCGGCGTTTGCCTGGTATTGTTAGAAGAAACCACGAAAAACTACCGATCAGAGCAGCCGATCATTAGAATTCTCTTCCAGACAGTGACTGAATTGCATCTAGCTAGTGCCGAAAATCCTGCCACCGTCAAGACGCGAAAATAGGACCTCCAGCTCAGAAGGACTGCAATGACATCCCAGTTGATACTCTGAGCCATCTCTCCTGGTCCAACACAAAGTAAAAAATGTAGATTTTTAACATTGATATGTAATGTATTAGTTACCATTTGGAATGCATAATTTTAAAAGACAAGCTCGCACTGTGACATTTTGTTCCTCAGCTTCTGAGTCAATGACCCCCAATCTCATTCACATTTTTTGCCCAGTGTTCCTGTTAGTTTGAGCTATTCCTGAGATGGCTCATTATTTTGTTTCTGGACGTAAATTTAGCTTCATTATCCGAAGACGTTTGTCTAGCTTAGATGGCTACACAATTCTTCAAATAAACGTTCTGCACCTCTCTGCTTCAGAAAGTCGATTCTGTCACGAAGGAATAATAATCAAATCTGTACCTTATTTTTCAAATAGTTTTTATTACATGTGAGTGAAAATTATCATTCAAATTCTTGATAAAACTCTTGTTGAGCTGAAAGCAGATCCAACGCCGGCAGTCTGGCCTCTTAATTTCTACATTTGAGCAGTTCTGTGCTTGTGCGCGATGGGAGGAGGGTCACACAGGAGCCCTTTGGTAACGACCGGATCAGAGAAAAAGAGGCAGAAATAAGATCGGGCGCTACTGGCTCTAGTCTAGAAAAAATACTAGTAATCACGAGCCAGCGCGGGCAGCCTAGCTTCTAATTGCATTTGAGCAGTTCAGGGCCGGAATGCGGTGGGGGTGGGGGTCGCAGATGCGCCCTGCCGCTTGATTTGCGCGGACCAGTTGGAAAAGGGGGTGGAGAGAAAGGGCGGCGGCCGGCAGCAAAGAGGGAAATCGCGGGCGGAAACCCATTCAACGCAGGCGGACGTTCGTTCAATCAACGGCGCGGAGGTGGCGCCAGCTGCATCCGGGACTTGTCGCTACCCCTTCCGCACCCTCCCCGCGCTCCGAGCACTTTTGCGCAAATTATTCGCTGGGATAAACTGCGTGCGCCTATATTTTACTGCTGACACACAGGGCATGTCGTTTTTTGTTTTTAAAATATTTTTAAATACCTGGGAGTTTCTTGAGTATCTAGTTTTTACGTGAGTTAATAATGATTGCCAGGAAATTGCATAATCATTTCATACCTAACAAATAAACATGGAAGCAAGGAAAATAAGATTGAATTGAATTGAATTTGCCTTATTTTACGTGGCGAGACTCGGGCCATCAGGCCCGCTCTTCCGTCTGACCACGAAAATTTCGCTACGCTCCTTTCATCAACTAGCAGAGAAAGGAGGTATTTCTTGGGCGAGAAACAGGCGTTTTGAATTTAGCTCAGAGGCGTCATTTAGGCTTGAGGATCTTTTACATGAAAGTAAAGATGTGAAAATATTACTACGTAATACAATCAATTAACTGATTAGCGATGCCGGGGGCATCAACTGCTAAGGTTATTAGACCCGTAAGTGTAGTGCAAGTTTCCATCGGGCGGTGGCAGTGACCTTCCTTTGCTGAATCTCCTACGAGCGGGGCACTACCCAAGTCCTGATTCCCCGACAGAGTGATAGAGTAGTGCGCTGGATGAGGTAGGAAATGTGTGCCCGTATGAGGTGATGATAGTACAAGGAAGTTGAAGGAAAGATCGCGTGTGGTCCATGACACATTTATTAGGGTAGTGCTCTGTCAATCACATTCTAATTCCATTCCAGTTCACGAACACCAATGAGAGGAGGAGGCAACCCAGGATCCCAAAATAAATCGCAAAATAATTGAAGGATTTTTATATTTAAGAAATAATACATGCATTTAGCAATATATAATTATACTTTTTTGCAAACATGTGTTAAAATAAATAATGATTTTCAGGTAGTGCAATGGTAAGTATAGGTATGTTTTAAACATTTCCTGTATTTGGGATACTTCGGAGGCCCGGACGGCTACGTCCTTATTCTGAAGAACTAGTTCAACGTTCACTTTGTTGCTTCGTTTGCACAACACTTACAGTAGTGCTCAAGAAATCATCATTTAAAAAATGGGCCTGTATGTCCTAATCCAATCTGCTCGCAAACATTTTAAATAAATATTAATAGACATTGGTAATTATATATTTAACGTGGATAATATGATGTTTCTGATTCCATTACCTTCAGCATTCGCTCGATTTTTGAAAATCAAGTGTGTATTCAGGATTTTATTCCAGATTACAACTGTGTAAAACGTGATACAGGTTTTGCCAGCACCACAGTACGTTCATCAACTAATACTAAAATAGGGTAGCAACGGCTTTCTGTTGGCAGAGCTATCTGCAAGAGAACATCGGATTTTCCGCGGTGCGATTACTCGTGCCGACGGTTTCGAACATTTTGGCAAGTAACCGTCAAGCGTTAACGTTCGAATCTGTCACTAATTGTTCAAAACGATTCTCATAATACTAGCCCTAGATAGTAAAAATTGTAACTAAATACCTAAACAAAGTGGTGGTGATTCAGAATGGCACAGAGTATATCGCACTAGTTAGTGGTCCAATATATTTAGTTTAGGCTTAGCTTATCTTTAGTTTAGGCTAGCTTTTCGGTATTGCCCCACCCCCGTTCCAAAGGGTACTACGTATTGGCGTCAAAACACAATTTCACATAACCTCAAATTTTCGGCGCCCAAAGAGTAGAATTGAAATATGTCTTTAATAACATTACAGAAGAATAAAACATATTCCTGTACGTTTTACTTATTGGAAAATCTTTATTGAAAAAATGGGTATGTCCTTTAAAATAAGTCGTTTGAGTGAAACTGCGCAATTTTAAGCTCTTTTTCACATAGCATCTTTTTAGTTTTAGAGAAGCATTTTTAAGAAATCACACGGGGCACTTCGGTTCAGAAACGCAATAATGTACAGCCAATTTTGTTGCAGAATTACATAACTTTCTCTATTCTGTGTAGGTAGTTCGCGAGAAATAAAATACAATAAAAAACTACGCTAGGGGACTGTCATTTACCCTTCCCCATTGGTATACAAATTATTACATTAGTTGAGTGATCATCCGCATTATTTTTAAATGATAATCACTCATTTTCAAGGGCTTCTGATAGTAGAGTTTATTTAAACCATTGCGTTACATACATTGCAATTACATACTCTGCAAGAATAGTTTTCGTAACCGATTGTACTTAACTTTTCCAATAAATTTTTTGGAATACCTGTTACGCGCAAAGGTTTGTAAAGTAAGATCTATATTTTTACGGAGAGTTTTGTTTTTATGAACGTAATTGTCGTAAAATTCTGAACAAGATAAATTTTTGCCTTTCGGTGAATTACTTAGGAAGGAACTTACAGTTGACATTAAAAACTGTATTTTGAAAAAAGATCGTTTTCGTCAGAACCTTTAATTCACAGAATCATTTTCATACGTTTCACAGCCAATAAATGGAACTACCTCGGACTATCTTAGTTTGTTAAGAAGACTAATTTTTGCCACAAGGCGTCAAAACCTAGACATGTAATTTTCATCCCTTAACATTTAGTAGTTTTGCAAAACTTTCCTTGCGTATTCTAAACACCTTCTGGGAACGCAACGGGTCACATTCTGATACACCACATATAAATATGTGAAAAAATGGAACTTTCTCTGTACCTGTTTAGCTCTTATGCTCAGATTTTGTAAGAGTAGTTGCCACACTCATCTCTTCTTCCATAATGCGCTGTCTTTCGTAGTCTGAGTTGAAAGGTTGGGCGAGATGTTCAAGGAGACTGCACGCATTACCCTCTGAGAGGGGTGAAGGGGGTGAGGGTGGTAAAGGGGCGAGGAGGGGAGAGGAGGGAGGACACGAGGCGAGTGGCGGTCGCCGGAAGCAGCAGCACTTGCTCCTGCTGAGCTGGGAGTGTCTACAACGGAACGCGCCTCTCGCTTGCTGGCTGTTAGCGCCGCCCCTACTTGATCCATGCCCACCGCCTGCTACACGCTCCTGCAAAGCGCTTTGCATAACTCACAGGCGCACAGAAAATGTTTATTTCATTTCTTCGCGTAAGCAAATTAGCGTTGCGATTAACAATGATTCTAATAAATTTTATTATCAAAAGTGGAAAGGGGCTCTTAATGGTGTAATTAATTCAAATTGTTTTACGGATATGAAATGAAATTTTATTGAATAAGGGACACGGAAAACATAATCTTAGCTATTGTCAAACTTTTAAATTGATAATATAAAACTAAGGAAACAAAAATATGAAAATAGAAAACCAATGCAACATCCGTAATTCTGTTTTAGACGTCATTATTTACAATAAATATGATGAATCTTACACACACCTATGTGTGTGTGTGCGTGTGTGTCTGTTTTCCGTCCCAATGTCAATCACTTTTAATCAATTAAACAGTTTTTCAATTACAGTGGGGACGTTCATTTTTGTTATATTTTTGTAGCTACTTAGTAGTTAATTTCTGGACAATTCAACATGAACGACAATCATAACACAAAATAAAGATAATTCTCTATCTCATTCTTCACTAAACACAACCATCGGTCATTCCCTCCAACTTCATTCCTGTGAGTCATTGTTCTCCGGCTAACATCTTCTCGTCCCGCCCTCCTCATCTCACATGCAACCAATAGACCTTGTCCTCTGCCCCTCACAACAATTCAAATGCTAATCGCAACCGCTGCGGCCTTCACGCCTACCAAGAAACGGCGATAAAATAACGATTCCCGAAATGTCCCCTACAGAAGAACGAAAGAGCCGTTAATCACAGTTGAAGAAAACTAGTTCTTTGCCAACTGATGTTTTAATACGTTATATTCATTATAACAAACATGTTGCGGGGGTTTAGGACCGAGGTTCAAGTGGTTGCCTAAGACGAAGTTAAGAGGTTTTTATAATTTTGATAATTTTGGTAGGTTTTTAGAATTGTATTCACAACTGTACCACTTCATTTACTAGATGTAACAAAAAACGTCATAGAGGCAAGAGATAATGGAAAATACAATTCCACCAAGTAAAAAGAAATAAACTCCTCTTGCAACGAGTAACACGTCACGACACAATAGTGATTTGTCCCCTTTTGCTGTCTAACGCGTTTCCTATCTGCGCACTTCCACCCCGCTGTCACCTCTCAGCGCACGTCGCGCTGCTATCTCATCACGTCGTGTCGCCGACTCCCCTTCCCGGGGCGCCGCCCGCCCTCGCCGCTTCCGGTCGGCAGTCGAAGGGGGCGGCGGAGACGCTAACGCCCGAGTTGCCGCGCAGACTGTCTCATCTCCTGGCCCTCGCGCTCCACCCACGCCCCGCGCCACTCTATTTGCCCTCCCCACTGCGGCGCCCTCCTCCTCCACAAGCCCAGGCTTTTATCACTCGCTAGACTTTTTTTACCTTCTCGTAGACCACTCGTAATGTATTACTTTTCTTGAATAACACTCCTGTTATTGTTAGTAATTGTTGAACAAAAATTTGTACTATTTTCTGTCGAATAATAAACATGTTTCAGATTAAATTGTATGCAGTGGTAGGGCGTACAGAGGACCCGAAGATGATCACATTTGAACATCTGGTTGGAACTTTCATAAACTAAATGAAGACATTGTGTTACCATTATCTAGCAAATTGTCAGCTCCGCTTTCGGACAGCCACATAAAATCTGTTTTCCTGCGTCACATCGAAACCTGCCTGACATCTTCAACTTTCATACATGCTCTAAAAATGTGTAGCATATTATGAACCATGTAGAGAACGTTGTGACGAGAGCAAGCATAGAAATACACCCTAAGGCGCTTCTGGTGTGGAACCTGACTGCTTCCGTCTCTAACCTCCTTTTGCCCCCTTCTAGTGTTTCCTGACCCATCTGTTTTCTGCAAAGTGCTACGTGCATACCCGTCTGCTTTGAGCTCACTGCTTCCTATAATACGTCTGCTCTCCATCTGTCAGTGTGATCGACCTCCAACAGCCCAACCAGTTTAGTCCTCGCCGCGTCCTCTCTCCTCTGCCTGCCCCACTTTCCGACCGTTTTCAGCCCAGAGCTCTCCACTTCTACTAAGTACTCATACTCCCTCCCCACCCTGCCTTGTCGCTCCGCTGTTGCCCGCGTTGTGTCTGACCGAAGCGCGGATTGTTTCCACGTCCTGTTGGCGTGTAACTGTCCCTTGTTTCGAACAAGGGACAGTTACACGCCAGTTATTTAGTCCTCATCTTTTCCTGTCTCGACCACTACCTACCCCGCTCTCAGTTAGCGGTCAGTTCTGACCCCTCCCTCTCAACACCACGCCCCATCTCGTCGCTCTTCTCCACAAATAGATTAGAACGCGTCCTCTTTGTTCTTTGACATCTTACCGCCTCATCAAGTCTAGTACTCCCGTCTGTGTGTGTACGCGTGTCCTGTCTGCTCTGAGTCCACTGCTTGACGACTGCTCGATCCTTCCCACCTCTCCGAGTACTGTCCTTTGTCCCCACCTACCAATCTCTCCATCTGACCCCAGCTCGATGCTCCGCAACCCACCCTATGACGACTACTACATTCCACCGCGTCGCTGCACTATTGAATTGAATTGAATTGATGCCTTATTGCGAGACTCAAGCAACGACGCCTGATCTTCCGTCTGACGACGCAATTTCGCTACGCTCCTTTCACCAACTAGCGGAGAGAGAAGGTATTCCTTGGGCCACGAAACAACTGATTTGAATTGATCAATGCCTTCATTTAGGCTTGAGGGCCTGTTTCAACGTCCTTTCTCCTCTGCACATTTTCCGGACGTTTAACAATACTGCATTTGTCCTGAATATGTAAGAGTCCGTTCCGGTCAACTCCTTATTTAACGTTCATCACACTCTTTCCTCTTCTACTTACCCCGTTCTCCATCTGTCCCTCTGGCAGTGCTAGCCGTCCACTATGCAGCCCCCTTTCCTATTTGTGCGCTCCTCATCGCTCTTTTCCACGATTAGTTTACATCTAAAGTATGTTTCTTTCTCTGACCTCTTGCTTCCTCATCTGTTCTCAATTCAGTGCTCCTCTCATTTTAGTCCTCGCCGCGTTCTTTCCGCTGTCACAACCTACCGCACTACGCGTCCCCAACTAGATGCTCGCCGCTCGCCTCCCCCGCTTCACGCCTCCCCGCCGCCTCGCTCCCCGCCTCAATCTACGCTCCAC